ATATACTTACCGTGATAATGTTTCCATTATTTAACTTTTAACAATCGAGTTTGCATGGCTACTCCACTAACGTTAGGTAAGGAAGGAATTGTTTACGATTCTCCTAGGCAACAGAAGCGACTGTCGTCATAAAATATATATTAAGTAAGTTGAACGGAGGTGTTTTAAGATAAGATCCAGATTTGGATAGTTTTATTTATCATAGCATATAGAATTTAAGTGGTGAAGTTGCTGACAATATTAGCAGAACCCGGGGGGGCTAGAAGAATCGCAAGAATTAAAGAGAGAGGAAACATATCGAATAAAGTAAGGAAAACTAATGAAAAGGGCTTGAAAACTTTGAGTTTGAATGATAAGGACAAAATAAAGGGTAAAGTGAATAGTACCAGGATTGACTTTTTAGTGTAAAAATGTGGTTTTTCGTTAAAGTGAACAGTACCAGATGCTTTTCGTTAAAGTTCCCAATAAAGTAAGCACAAGGGGAGGACAATAGTGCCATGTGCCTTCCCCTTGTTTAATTATCTTCTTGCACTCGTTATTGTGCATGCTTGTAGAGCAATAGAGGTTTACTTTTGATTAATAATACAACCAAATGCTGCATCTCAAGAGTCCCCAACAATAAAAATTATCCCCAGGTTCGAACATTGTCTTTTCCATCTTAGGTGGGTATAGAAAAGTAACCGAACAACAGTACTGCTGTTCTAAAGAGGAGATCGATGTATCTAATGGCCTAAGGGCAGCAAGAGTCCAATATCCAGCAGCAACAAATTGCAGCCAAACTGAAAAATGTAAACAAGATATCGCAGGGGTCAGTGAAGCAGTGGAACAAGAGCAAATTAAGGAAGTCAAAAAGTAATTTTAGCTGACCTACATACAGAATTAAGGCATTTAAAAGTAAAAGATTAGCGGACGTGAACATAGTCACATTGGAAAAGCACGTGTTGCCTTCATGCACCAAAGTTCTAGTCCCTTTCCCCACAATTTAGATTAAGTTAAAGTATAATATCGCTTATATAAAAATAAATAAAAATAAAATAGTAGAATCTAATTGTCAATTGGTAATTGGTCTCATGGTGGAACCTCAATTTTTTTCATGGTATTAGTGCAGGTTATCCCACGTGTGAAGCCCAACGGCCACATGTACTTCATGTCACCCGAGTTATGTTGTCCACGTGTTAGGCTTGAAATTCGCCACATGTGAGGGAGCATGTTGAGACTGAGTCTCACATTGATGGGAGGAGGGACCTTGTATGGGCTTATAAGATGTTGGGCTACTCTCTATATTGTCAATTGATTTTATAGTGGAATCTCAACTTTCTTCCGTAAGCAATGGGAAAATCAAAACTTGTTAGCTACATTGTTCTAATCTTAGTTTCAATTGGAAAAATAGTTAGCCTTTTCATTCTAGAATTCTAAATTTGGAGCTGATCGTTATCAAGAAAAAAGATTAATTTTGTCCTCAAAAGTTAGAAAATATAAAAGAACAAAGAGTAAACACACAGTTACTCAGTTCATGCCAAACATGATATGATCAAACTATTAAGGGGAGAAGCTGAAAGCCAGTGAGTCAGTAGGGAGAAGGAGAGTATGCGCATACCAGTCTCTAAGAACTGAACAGCAACCTGGGCCATCATTGTCTTGGAGTGAAGAAGGCGGCGGCTGGTTCGGGGTTGGCGCGGGAGGATAAAAGTAACCCTGATAGCCAGGTGGTGGAGGGCCAGGAGGAGGACGAGGGGGAGGGTAGTCTGATGGTGGCGGAGGCGGAGGGCCACCGGGAACAGGATGGTACCTCATTGCTTTGCTTTAGCACTAGTACTTATCAAAGCCTAGTTCAAATAATGCTGCTACTAGAAATTGACAGAGGCTTTTGTGTGCTGTTTCTTGCTCTAGAATCTAGATAAATCATATATATAGTAAGGGTTACTCTGTGGATTACGTTACATGCCGAGCGCTAGGAGAAATGTGTGTTGTTCTAGCATTTTTCTTTTGCTAAACGTTTTCCACATGCGAGAGACAACTTGTTTTTTTGAATTCCATGTTTTACACTCATTTCAGTATTGCAACTATAATGGTTATAATATCCATCTCTCGTTCTCATGAAAATCCTCGTAATAAATAAGCCGATGTTGTAGGTCAATTAAAAACAAAAGTCGTACACCATTTTAACCTAACATCGATTCTCCAGACTTTTAACCACCATTCCAGAAAGAAGGTAACTTTTTCTATCTCACACTTACACTACTCTGACCTAACAGTCCATCGTTTACCATTTTAAAACGAACAAAGAAACAAATCTATCTTTTTACCAAAACCACAATGACTAATGATAAAAAGCGGCTGTTTTATCAAGATTTCAGAGTGGGCCTTCAATGGTTCACAAATAATCATATTGATAGTCTTAATTTAACTATTTGCTTAATTCAGTAGATGTTAGGTTTTATCATAAAAGTTTTCAATGCAATTAGGAGTAGAACGTTCAATATAAATTATAATTTATTCTGTTAAGTCTGGATTGCATTCTTCAACATATTTTTCTTTTATTTTATTGTAGAAGTATTTAGAAATTTAGCGTGTTGGGCTTCAACATATATTTGTTTTTCTAAAGTTTTTGCATGTGGTCAAATATCCAAATGGATTCCACCCATGCTGGATTTGAAACTTCTCCCTCTTCTAAATTATTGTAATAATTTTGAATTATTCTCCCTCTCCATAATAATAATGATTTTTTTTAATTGAAAATTTAGATATCGTACTTAAAAATGCAAATAAATCTATGAAAAAGAACTAATACAAAATACTAAATGTTGTGGCCTATATTTAACTGATAGGGGAGAGGGGGCCGGTGGTACAGAGAGAGAATATAGAGAGAGATGTGTTTGTAGGGTTGTGTAGATCATGTTGTTATTCCCCATATGCAGTGCTTTATTTATAGTAATAAAAGAGAGAAGAAGAAATCCTTCTCCTCTAAGGAATACAAGTCCTAATAGGGAAGAATAACTAGAATCAAATTTAATCTATAATTTACACAATCACACTTAAATAAGAAGTTTATAACACTCCCCTTTTGAGTGTGTAAACACTCTCAAGTAGATTCGACATCATGTAGAGGTTAAGGAAGTCAACTTGTCGACACTGATTTTGGGAATATGCTATTCTTAAATAAGGTAGGAACTTGCATAAGGAAGTAAGTCTCACAAAAAACCCTATGGCTATGGTAAAAACTCGAGTAGGGACAAAATCCATAGTCTAAGGAAAAATGCGTGAGAAATGCAAAGTCAAATAAAACGTCTAAGGGACGTCATCAGGGATATGATCAACCCAAGGTGGGTGCCTCGTCAAAACCTCTTTAGGTAGCAAAAACCCAGTGGAAAAAATGCTCTTAATCGTTGGGAAAAATAATATATTAAGATCAAGTAAGTATACTTCAGGATACTCCCCCTGAGTTTGACATAATTCCAATGAGAACTAGCAATGTTACAACTCAGAAAGTTTATGCATACTAATTCCTTGAACAAGCTTCTGAAACGTTGCCTTCGGTAGTGATTTGGTGAAGAGGTCGGCCAAATTGTCTTGTGAACGAATTTGCATGACTTTAATATTCTGATGCTCTTATTGTTGATGTGAGAAGAAGAACTTTGGCGCGCAATATGCTTGGTGTTGTCTCATTTGATGTAACACTTCTTGAGTTGTTCGATGCATGATGCGTTGTCTTCATAGATCGTCGTTGGGATGTCAACGACGGGGTAAAGATCACAGGAGCTTTGAATATGACCCACAACTGCTCTCAGCCAAAAGCATTCCTGAGTTACTTCGTGTAAGGCGAGAATTTCATCAAGGTTAGACAAAGTGGCAACTAAGGTCTATTTAGTTGACCCCAAGAGATTGTGGAGCCTCTAACAATAAAGACATAACCTGTTTGAGAGCACGCCTTGTGCAGATCAGATAAGTATCATGCGTCAACATAACCAATAAGGCGAGAATCGACTCGAGATAAAGGGGTGCGGCATCAGTCAAGGATCCATAGGGATAAAAAACAAACCCAGATCCGTAGTACCCTTAAGGTAATGGAAGATGTCTCTAACTCTAGTCCAGTGTCTGCGTGTTAGTGCATTACTGCATCTTGCCAAAAGATTAACAACGAATAAGATGTCGGGTTTAGTGCTTTGAGCTAAGTACAATAAAGCGCCTATCACACTTATATAAGGAACTTCAGGCTCCAAAATCTCTTTATCATCCTCATTCGGAGAAAAGGGATTTCGTTTTGCATCTAATGATTGAACGACCATAGGAGTACTCGAAGGTTTCTCTTTATCTTCGTTAAAACGGCGCAACACCTTCTGGGTGAAGTTCGATTGATGTACTAAGATTCCCCCTGAACGGTGCTCTATCTCAAGATCAAGACAGTATCGAGTCTTTCCTAGATCTTTCATCTCAAATTTTGACTTCAGGTGAGCGGCAGTTCTCGCGAGCTCTTCAGGAGTTCCAATAAGATTCATGTCGTTGACATATACTGTAACGGTCGCAAAACCAGAATGTGACTTCTTAATAAACACACAAGGGCATAGTTCGTTGTTCACATATCCCTAACTAGTCAAATACTCACTTGGACGGTTATACCACATTTTTTGGATTGTTTCAAATCGTAGAGTGAACACATCAGCCGAATTGAAAGCGTGTTTCGGGGTTTGTAATATTTGATCCAGTCAATGTAAGTCATTTGAGAACTTTCATATAAATTTTTTGTATCAAGATCCTCATAAAAATATGCAATTACTACGGCCATCAGCTACATACTCGGATTTTCGAAAACTACCAAACTTATAAGGTAGCAAAAGGTAATCACATCCATAACGAATGAATAAGTTTCGTCACAGTCAATCCCAAGGCGTTGTGAGAAGCCTTGCGCAACAAGACGAGCTTTGTAACCCACAATTTCATTATTCTCGTTATGTTTATGAACGAAATCCCACTTGTAGCCAACAGGCTTCACATGTGGAGGAGTATGAGTTACAGGTCCAAACACCTTACGTTTCACAAGCAAATCGAGTTCGACTTGGATTGCTTATTTCCAGTTTGACCAATCAATTCTACGTCGACATTCATCAATGGAACGGGGTTCAATGTCATCACTCAACATGATCTCAGTAGCTACTGCATATGTTAATGCATCGTCGATGATCATCTCATTTCTACACCAAATATCATCCAAACTAGCATAATGGACCGAAATCTCATGATTCTCAAAAGGTGGATTCATCTCTTCAAGAATGCTTCCGTAATCTAGAATTTACTCATGAGTTGGATAGAATAAGTAGGCGACAATCGGATTCATGGTAGGCTTTTCAGGTGCCTATGTCGTGGGTTTCCTCTTCCGAGGGTGTGAATCATTTGAACCAAGTGGTCTACCATGATTTTGTGTAGGGGCAGATGATTGGCTAGCCGCTAATATACGTGGATCGGCCAAAATGGCATCCCGGGCCTCTAGGAAGGAAGTCTGTCATACATTTGATACATCTGATAAGCTCATATTTATATATATTTTACATCAAATTCACTTCTCTTTTCTTAGTTAGTTCCTTATATTTTTGAGCTATTTACTTTGTTTTTTGTGTTTTGTGGGATTTGTCAAGCAAATAAAAGAAAAATAACACAAGTAGGATTTTTAGTAACAAATTCGTCAAAACTGCCTGTGCAGATCAGCTGACTTTGGAAGCAAGCTGCGAACAGCTCAGAATGAATTAGAGAATGAGCCTTATATTCTTGGAAATCTACGGATTTCTATTTTCTGGAGCATTTCGCGGATTGTTAATATCATTTTCGTAGAAGAAGTTATGGCCGTTTTAACACTGAAAGGTTCACAAGAGACTGGGCAGTTTGTAACTGAAGCAATAAACCCAATAAATCTAGTAGCCAAAACTGATGCAGCCAAGAACAAGTCAGCTGACACCTATTCAAATATAAGAGGAAATGGAATTAAAAATGAGGATTAAGAGGGAGTAATTGGCATAAAGGCTACCTAAAGTGTTACAATTGTTTTACCACATTTCCTCTCACTTATTGTCATCACTAAATGGCTATTAGTGGGTGAGTTCAAGAGAAGAAAATGATGCAGCAAGAATTGGTTTAAAAGCAGCATTGGGGAAGGAAGGAAGAGAGGAGGAGGCCTCGGTCGATTTCTTTTGGTTATATCTTCTCAAACTCATGTCTATCTTTTGTTTTAGCTTAAGGATTGTGTGTAACTAAATTTTTAGTAGTTAGGGGCTGATTTGAAGCCCCGAATATGATTGCAATTTTGTTATGACATTTCGATGAATTACTTTTATGAATGGATGAAAATTGGTTCACTACTTGTCTCATTGATGAATTCTTTATTTGTTTTCTATGGATGCATACGTAGTAAGCATATCTAAGATTTTAATCCTATGAATATGTGTGTGTCTGCCCTTGTCGAAGGAGGACCTACATATATTCTAGAGTAGTACTTGTTAATTGCGATTAACATGTGAACCAATTTCTAGGATAAGTAAGACAACGCCAGTACTTACGATGCCTTGTGATGACTCAAACTCTTTTCGTTCTTAATGATTTCTACTTGTTAAATCTATGAACGCACCATTCTAGATTGCATGCTAGGGACTAAGTTAAGTTGAAAACGCCATTCTCTTAAAATACTACGTAAGAAAGAGTAATAGGTTGAGTTCTAACATTGAGCCAACTTGAGCATCTTCATCCGGAAATAAAAGGAATTTGAATGAAACATAACATGTTTGCATGATTATTTGGTGGTGGATAGCAATTCCCCTAACTCGTTTTTCTTAATTTATGAACTATTTAAAATTTGTTTCTGTCCTGTTTTTGTTCAATTTAAT